ACTCTGTATATCTTTCAACACTCTGTATATCTACCACCACTCTGTATATCTGCCACCACTCTGCATATCTATCACCAATTTATATATCTATCAACACTTTGTTTATCTATCACCACTCTGTAAATCTACCACCACTCTGTATGTCTACCCCAAATCTGTATATCCATCACCACTCTGTATATCTATCACAACTCTATATATTTATCTCCACTCTGTATATCTATCACCACTCTGTATATCTATCACCACTGTGTATATATATCAACACTCTGTATATCTATCCCCATCCTGTATATCTACCACCACCCTGTATATATATCACCACTCTGTATATCTATCACTACTCTGCATATCTATCTCCACTCTGCATATCAATCATCACTTTGTATACCTATCACCACTCTCTATATCTACCACCACTCTGTATATCTATCAACACTCTGTATGTCTACCACCACTCTGTATATCTATCACCATTTTGTATATCTATCACCACTTTGTATATCTATCACCACTCTGTATATCTACCACCACTCTGCATTTCTATCACCACTCTATCAATACCAGTCCATTTGTCCTTCCTTCATAAGTATTGTTTTTTTATACATAAAGATGTTTTATTTTGTATTTATAACTTTGAATTCTCATTTTTATGCCCATTATATTTATAAAGCTCACATACCTGTATGCTATAGGGCCACGGTATTTGGTGTATGGTGTACATGTCTGTCTACCACCACTCTGTATATCTATCAACACTCTGTATGTCTACCACCACTCTGTATATCTATCACCATTTTGTATATCTATCACCACTTTGTATATCTATCACCACTCTGTATATCTACCACCACTCTGCATTTCTATCACCACTCTGTATATATATCACCACTCTGTATATCTATCACCCCTCTGCATATATACCACCACTCCGTATATCTACCACCACTCTGCATATCACAGTCTATCACCATTTTGTATATCTATCACCACTCTGTATATCTATCAACACTCTGTATATCTATAACCACTTTGTATATCTATCACTCCTATGTATATCTACCACCACTCTGTATATCTACCACAACTCTTCATATCTATCACCACTTTATATATATATATATATCACCACTTTATATATATATATCACCACTTTGTATATCTATCACCACTCTGTATATCTATCACCACTCTGTATATCTACCACTACTCTGCATATCTATCTCCACTCTGTATATCTATTACCACTTTGTATATCTACCACCACTCTGCATATCTATCACCACTTTATATATATATCACCAATGTTATATCTATCACCAATCTATATCTACCACCACTCTGCATATCTATCTCCACTTTGTACATCTATCACCACTTTGTATATCTACCATCACTCTGCATATCTATTACAACTTTGTATATCTATCATCACTCTGTATATCTACCACCACTCTGTATATCTACCAACACTCTGTATATCTATCATCACTCTGTATATCTACCACCACTCTGTATATCTACCAACACTCTGTATATCTACTACCATTCTGTATATCTATCACCATTCATTATATCTATCACCACTTCGATTATATATCACCATTTTGTCTATCTATCACCACCTTGTATATCTATCACAACTCTGTGTATCAATCACCACTCTGTATATCTACCACCACTCTGCATATCTATCTCCACTCTGTATATCTATCACCACTTTGTATATCTACCACCACTCTGCATATCTATCTCCACTCTGTATATCTATCACCACTTTGTAAATCTATCACCACTCTGTATATCTACCACCACTCTGTATATCTATCAACAATCTGTATATCTACTACCACTCTGTATATCTATCCCCATCCTGTATATCTGTATATCTATCTATCTGTCAAGTTTACTGACTTTGAACATGTTGAACTAGGTTATAAACTGCTAGTACTTTCAGATCGTTCTTTTGTGTCTTATTTATTGGTATATTTTTTTTATCTGTATTGTGTTGATCTGAACCTATTTCAACAAATTTTTACTTTTAAGTTCTGACTTCGGTCTTATCCAATGTGTACAGTCTCAGTTTATGGTATGGTTCGGCACTAGACCTTTTTTTAGCCCCTTCCAAAAATGCATGTGCCTTCCCCCGGTCATGACATATTGTGTCATTGAGTCTTTGTTCCTGTATTTCATTTTGTTTTTGTTGTAAATATAAATCAGGCTGTATGTCTGCATATTTGCTTTTTTTTTACACTCGTCGTTTTGGAAATTAAAAAGAAGATGTGGTATGATTGCCAATGAGACAACTCTCCACAAGAGACCAAATGACACAGAAATTGACAACAATAGAAGACGTTACTAAGTTGAAAAACTTGTGTCTAATCCATTTGTCATTTTTGAACAATAAAATATGTTTAAACTAACAACTATAGGTCACCATATGGCCTTCGAAGCTAGAATACAGTGTTGCTATTTACTGAAGTTACTCTTAGACTAGTAGCTCTGTACTGTTTTCTTGATGTTGGAGGTCCATAAGATTTTTTTGACGGTGTTGTCCATGTACCATTTTGTAGATCGTACTTCTTGGGCATATGTTTTATAGCGACAAGCAACTAGAACTTTGGCTATTTTTCAGTTTAAGTTGTCGTCAGCTAGCAATTTATCTATGCTTTTTTCGGGCTGATTACAGATGTTGTTCAATAGTCCAAGTACTCGGATATGTAGTTGGGCTTCTATTGGTAGTATTCCGTTTAGGATGTTGATAGTAACATCTGCTACATAAGTTGGTAATGAGAGTATAAGCTTATAAGTAGCTTTTTCTGGAAGTTTTTGATTAATTCTGGTGAACTTGTTTTTGGTAGTTTTAGCTCTTATCCATAGAGAAGTACTGGAGATACGTTACACGAATGACCGAATGACACTTGGAATGAGCGTATGACACATGAAATTTTAATCTTAGTTTAAACAGTATTTAGTAATGAAAAATTTTACAAGAATAAAGTATTAAAATATTACATGAAGTTTTAATCTTAGCACATATATGTGAATTTTAAACTTTGATTTATAAATAATATTACATTAAAGTTTATGTTATAACTAAAACATGATTTATTAAAGCAGGCAAGTTCATAAAATGTTATTATAATTTCGTGGATACATCTGTTCCTGATTGCATATATACGATCGCCCAATGTGTTCAAGTTGGACTACCAAAGTGGGGCCCTCATTTGTAAATTATATTATAACTCACTGACACTCCATGAATTGAAATGTATTTCATTTAACAGTCAACAAAAATTATTTTAAGTAATAATTTTGCGGTACGTTTTAAAACCGCTCAGGGCCTCCTGAGTGCACTCAGGACATGTAATAGATATTTTAGTGGGCGTTGAGGGTATGCGTCCGATAAATTATTTATTTTTTTATCTTAATATTTTTGTTTGAATAAAATTAATTGAATATTTCAGAAGTTATTGAAGTGTTTATTAACACACGCCGTTATTTGGAATATGTCATGCATGACCGATGATCATATTCAATACCAATTATCATGTTGATTAGGTCTATACAAATCCTTAATTAGGTCTTCTGATCTTTAGTAATTAGTGAAGGTAATCAACACATACTAGTTAACTAAACAAGAAAGGTTTTCTTAGAACAAAAATAAAGATAAAAGTTGCAAAAAATGTTAAATAAATGTTTCGTTTTGTTTGTGATAATATTAAAGCCATTTGAGAAATTTAAGAAATCCATTCAGTTTATTTAATTGAAAACGTTAACAAATATAGATCTAATTCATTGCAAAGTGTGGCGTCCTTCAGGGATCAAAACCCCGTTTTAACAGTGTTTGTTTAAAGGTTAATTATGCATTGGCCACGTGTCGTTAAAAAAAAAAAAACTGATTAACAATGTAATAGAGTTGTAAGGTAATAGATATTTCAGGTATTGGGCATTTGTCATAATCATGATTAGATTATCTAATTGACAAAAACACTTTATAATTCAACTTACCAAGTAAGTACTAAAATGTAACACTTTACAATAAAATGGATGATAAATTCCTGCACCATATTTCACTCTTTTAATAGAGAAAATTAATGAAAGAAAAACGGCACGTGATATTTTTTTTAAAAAGATTATAACTTTCTAAAAGGAAACTTATTAGAACTTCGAAATGGTGTATTTCAACTTTGCTAAACTTATTTCAACATTTTAGTTATTTGTCCTATTTAATGATGCGGATGCCAGATTTATGTAACATATTTCACTATCTTCATAAAGACAAATACGGATATAACATTCAGATTCTCTTATAAAAAAAACTCTCATGACAAACTTCTAAATTCTAGATCCATCTGATCTTCATTATCATAGATACACTTGTCATACATGTACATCCTGAATAAATTAATTGTTATTTTAATATATCAAATTTGGAAATTTAAAACTTCTAAAACGTTTCCCGTAAGAGAGTAATCTTTCATTCTTCTCTATCTGTATAGATGCATCATTGTATCTATATCTTATCCCTTATGACCATGAAATTTTCCTCCTATGTGTCGCGGCTTTCTATTGGCTCCTTTTTTTTCAGTTAATTGATTTTCTCAAAATTCTCAGATAATCCCGGATTTTCTCCAGTTAATTATTTATCTAATTTTGTGAGGAATATAATGAATTATCTCAAATATGCATTAAGCTGAGAAAATCCCAGTTTATCTTAAAATTCTGAGATAAACCGGGATTATCTGAAAAAAATCGAAATAATCCCGGTTTATCTGAGCTTATTGTAAAATAGTGAGATAATCCTAGTTTATCTGAGATAATCTAGGATTATCTATAAAAGTCGTTCAGGCGTGCCATATATAAGACTTATGGCATTTATCTAAATAATATTCCTCCTAAAAATTTGGAATGAGATAAAAACAAAAAACCTGCCTTTTTGCCATTTTAAAGTCTACAAAAAACTCTGTTTCAGTGGCTTCTGGTTTGCATCTAAGGAAACAGATGTTAATTTATTTTAATTACATAACAATTTAACAATAAACTTAATGCAAGAGTATTCAACAAAACAAGGAATCAATCAAACTGATCTTCACTAACATTGCTATCACACACTAGGGATAATTCTTCACCAATATACATTTTCATTTAAAAAATCAAGATATACTATAATAAATAAATATACACAATAGCATCAATTTCACAAGTGTATATCATGTAACATGTGTACACATTTAATAATGTTTATCCTGTAATATGTGTACACACTAAATTAAGTTTATCTTGTAACAAGTGTACACACTTTATATGGTATCATGCCTGTCTAAATAATACTAACAATCATTTATTTGATAACAGTGAGCTGAATGATATTTATATTCACTTTCTTATTAAGTATGATGTTTCATCTCAGTTTTCAACCTAAACAATTTGTTTGTGACATCACATATGTCCTTCTACAAAAAGACTGTAATTGAAAATGACTTTTTTTCTGAATTTTGATAATTAACAAGCATTCTGAGAGTATTGCATGGCAATACATAGTCCCCTACCGGGTAAAAATTCATTATACTGGAACAAAATGCTAACTTGTTATATAACTTGCCATGGTGTAAACAAAAAGTAAATATCATGTCAACATCTTCAAGCATGACTAAAAACAGTGTGGAAAACTGATTATATGAGTGAATTGACCATAACTCTGCACAAAATTATTAGACAGAAACAAAAATTTGAACTTGATCCGTAACTTGTCATGATAAAACTATATACCAATTATCAATCAATATCATATAAGCATGATGAAAAAAACATTAGATATGATTAATAGTTCTCTAAAATTAGATATGATGTAATACAGTGTATATCTATTTTCAAATTATAATCAAATATAATTAATAGTTCCAAATATTTTTTCTTTCATTTGTCACAAACTAATATAGATTTGTAACTTATCTATAAAATGTCAACAACTTTTATCTACACAATGTAATGTATTGAAATATATACATAATAAAAATAGATTATTATCTAATTAAAGGATTTCTCTTCATAATTTTTTTTTATATATATAGCATTCAAAAAATTAGTTTATACTAAATAACTAACAAACCTGCCAAAATTTCTTCAAATAATTGAACAAAGAATGTCTTTTAAAAAATTAGTTATCTCCCTTTGTCCATAAATATGGTTTAACATAGTACTCTAACATTAGATATGGTCCAGAGTTATGGTCCATAACTCTGGATTAAATCATCAGACCGGAACAAAATTTGAACTTGATCTATAACTTGTCATGATAAAACTATATACCAAATATCAAATCAATATCTTCATAAACAAAGAAAAAAAGTGTGGAAAGCTGATTTGCCAGACTGACAGAAGGACAGACAGACAGACGGACAGACAGACAGACAGACAGACGGACGGAGTACAAACCTAAAGTCCCCTTCGACTTCGTCGGTAGGGGACTAATTACTGCACACATGTCCTCTTAGTATGGATAGACTTACTATTACATACTGTTGACTAATCCTAAGATTTTGGATAGATTAATCTCTAATAAAAGAACAGAGTTCCAATGTCCCCTGCTTGGCACATATTTTATCAATCCAAGGTACAAGGGCAATACCTAAAAAACACTTGAGCAAATGCAATGCAATTTCCGTTATATAGTTAATATTTCCTAGGGGCATAACTCGTTAAAAATATTTGATCAGCACTTATTTTTGAAAGTGTCAAAGACATTGCTGATATAAACCTATGATATAAGTTTCATGTAATTCTGGCAAGATTTGTACACGTGAGAGCGTTAACTATGCAATTTTCCATGTAATCAATATTTACAAGGGGCATATCTCTTTTAAAAATCATTGATTGGCACTGATTTTCGAATTTGTTCACGACATTGATGATATAAACCTATAATATAAATTTCATAAAAATCTTGCAAGAATTGTACACATGACAGCGCTCACAAGTCTTTACATATAGTTAATATTTCCAAGGGGCATAACTCTTTTAAAAATAATTGATCGGCACTGATTTTCAAATTTGTCATTGACATTGATGATATAAACCTATGATAAAAGTATTATAAAACTCTGGCAAGAATTGTACACATGAGAGTGCTAACAATGCAATTTTCCATATAGTTAATGTTTCCAAGGGGCATAACTTTTAAAAATAATTGATCGGCACTGATTTTTGAACTCGTCCAAGACATTGCTGATATGAACCTATGATATAAGTTTCATAAAATTTTGGCAAGAATTGTACAAATGAGAGCAATAACGATGCAATTTTCCATATAATTAATGTTTCCAAGGGGTATTACTCTTAATCGGTACTGATTTTCTAACTCGTCCAAAACATTGCTGATATAAACCTAAGTTTCATAAAAATCAGGCAAGAATTTTACACATGAGAGCACTAACAAGACCGGATGGGCCCATGGACAGACGGACGGATGCCCGGTATTTCTATGTCCCCCCCCCCCCCCGCAATGCGTTGCGCGGGGGACAAAAAGGGCTATAAAGTATAAACACCATCGACATGTCTTCTGACTGTGGATAGATTTATCACCATATATGCTGATGATATGGCTTTTGAATGTGGATATATTAATCACTAAACATGCATATGACATGTCCTCTAACTGTGGATAGATTACAACTATACATGCTTATAACATGTCCTCTGTCACTGTGGATAAATATATGAATATACATGCTTATGAAATTTTCTGTGACTGACTATACATGCTTATGACATATCTCTGTTCATGAATAGATTTATGACTATACATGCTAATGACATCCTCTGTCCATATCCTTTGGGCTTTGACTGAGTTATCACTGTACAAGAACTACTGCTAATGAAAGGTCCTCTGAACGTGGATACACTACAGGAAGCCCAATATCCGTCCCGTGAAAACATTTCTTTGTACACTGTAAGCTACAACACATCCCTAATATGTAGGCTGACTTGACATAGTCTTTATATACAACAGGAAACCCTGATAGGAATATGTTGCCTTGACACATCTCACATTTGGCCAATGGGCATGATAGTGTTGCACTCAAGTTGTAAGGAATACTGTCAATAATGTCTGAAATGTAAATAAAAATAGATATGAATCAACAACATGAATGATAAATGTTTTACTCGCCAAAGCAGTAAGCAGGGATTTCTTTAAACTTTGTATTGACAATCTTTTCTATCAAGTTCAAAGATATATTTCAACCAATATTCTTAACAAAAATCTTTAAGTTATCAAATAATAACAGAATAAAATAAAATTCTCCGTGGGGCCCAGCTAAAAACGACTGCAGGTGTCAAACCCTGAACAGTGGGTCAAGTATGGACACTACATTCAAGCTTAATACAGCTCTGAATTTGGATTGTCATTAAAAATTTTACATTAAAACAATGTCTTTAAAAAATCTTTAAATCTTTCCTCTAATTATTTGTCAAAATATCTAATAATGATCAGTAAATTTCAAACTATATTTATACATAATTTCTAAATTACAATAAGATGCTATATCTGTTTTTAACTATGAATCTAATAACAATTTCTATTAATTGTGCAATATAGCTCTTAATTTCGATTGTGATTAAATATTTGACATAGAAAAGGTTTCTGACACAGAATGAATGTTGTCTAAGAACTTAATAAAGTGCTCCACTGGGTGCAGCTTGATACAACCGCAGAGGTCGAACCCTGAACAGTTGGGGCAAGTATGGACAAAGCATTCAAGCTTGATACAGCACTGAATTTGGATTGTGATTAAATATTTGACACAGCATAACCAATTTAAAATGGAAAATTTTGAAGAAAAAAAAAGGAAAAAAAAGGAAAAAAAAATCCACCCCCCCCCCCCCCAAATTTTTGAACCCCTTTATGATTTATCACCCCCAAACTCAATCCCAGCCTTCCCTTTGTGGTATGGTACCTTGCAGTACAATTTCAGAGAGATCCATACACTAGAACACAATTTATTGTCTGGAAACTAGAAAAATGCTTGTTTTTTGGCCCCAAATTCCTAAACGTTTTGGGCAATTACCCCCAAACTCAAACCCAGCTTTCCCTTTGTGATATGGAACCTTGTAGTACAATTTCATAAAGATCCATACACTAACACACAAGTTATTGTCCTGAAACTAGAAAAATAAAATTGAGAATGGAAATGGGGAATGTGTCAAAGAGACAACAACCCAACCATAGAGCAGACAACAGCCGAAGGCCACCAATGGGTCTTCAATGCAGCGAGAAACTCCCGCACCCGGAGGCGTCCTTCAGCTGGCCCCTAGACAAATATGTATACTAGTTCAGTGATAATGGACGTCATACTAAACTCCAAATTATACACAAGAAACTAAAATTAAAAATGATACAAGACTAACAAAGGCCAGAGCCTCCTGACTTGGGACAGGCGCAAAAATGCGGTGGGGTTAAACATGTTTTTTGAGATCTCAACCCTCCCCCTATACCTCTAGCCAATGTAGAAAATACAAACGTACAACAGTAAAAATGCTTGTTTTTTGCCCCTTTTTGGCCCCTAATTCCTAAAATTTTGAGGCAATTACCCTCAAAATCAATCCCAGTCTTCCCTTTGTGGTATGGTACCTTGCAGTACAATTTCAGAGAGATCCATACACTTGAACACAAGTTATTGTCTTGAAACTAGAAAAATGCTTATTTTTGGCCCCTTATTCCTAATTGTTTTGGGCAATTACCCCCAAACTCAATTCCAGCTTTCCCTTTGTGATATGGAACCTTGTAGTACAATTTCAGAAAGATCCATACACTTACACACAAGTTATTGTCATGAAACTAGAAAAATGCTTGTTTTTTGCCCCTTTTTTGGCCCCTAATTCCTAAAATTTTGAGGCATTTACCCCAAAATCTATCCCAGCATTCCCTTCAGGATATGAAACCTTGTGGTACAATGTCAGAGAGATCCATACACTAACATTCAAGTTATGTCTGGAAGTTACAAAAATGCTTATTTTCGGCCCCTTTTTGGCCCCTAATTCCTTAACTGTTGGTACCATAACCCCCAAAATCAATCCCAACTTTCCTTTTGTGGTATTGAACCTTATGGTAAAATTTCATAGAGATCAATTCATTTAAACTAAAGTTAAAGTGTGAAAACCAATGTGTCTTCAGACGACTACGACGACGACGCCAACGTCATACCAATATACGACCGCAAAATTTTTTTGCGGTCGTATAAAAATTTGAAATTCGACTTTTACCTATTATGGTCCAATATCCAAAATCTAAATACATGATTAGATCAAGCATATCAAAGAACCCCAGGAATGCATTTTTTATGAAATCAAACAAAAAATTTGAATTTAGTACCTTTTGGAACTCAATGTGGACCAATTTGATAATGGGGCCAAAAAGCCAAAATCTAAATACACAGTTAGATTCAGCATATCAGAGAACCCCATAAATTCAATTTTTGTTGAAATCAAACAAAGTTTAATTTTTGACCCCACTTTGGACCAACTTGAAAACTGGACCCAAAATCAGAAGTCAAAATACATGTTTAGATTCAGCATATCATAATAAACTGCTTCGCTGAGCGCAGCTGGATACGCCCGCAGAGGTCCAACCCTGAACAGTTGGGGCAAACATGGACACAATATTCAAGCTTGATACAGGTCTGAAGTTGGATTGTATTAAATATTTGACATATTATAGGTTTCTGAATAAATGAAGTCAAAGAACTTGAAATTGGTTATATGAATTGAATTTATATTCAATTAAAGATTTCTTGCTGTTGTGCAATACACTGTGCTGTTGCGCAATACTTAGTAAATCTGTTGTCAGACTATAAACAAATAAAGTTCAATTAATTCTCAATGTCATATTAGAAATTTATGAAAATGTAAAGGGAGCTAACATCAATAGATATAAACAATTCACCAAAGTTTCATGAGAATTGCTGACAGCATTTTTGAGTTATTGTCTGAAAACTGGAAAATCCCCCCTTTTTTAATGAATAAAACCCCATAACTCAGAAATGTAAAATGTAAAATTTATAAAATTCTAAACGGAGCTTACATCAATAAATATAAACAATTCACCAAAGTTTCATAAGAACTGCTGAAAGCATTCTTGAGTTATTGTCCGAAAACTGGAAAATCCCCCTTTTTTTATGAATAAAACCCTGTAACTCGGAAACGTATAATCTAAAATTTATAAAAATCAAAAGGGAGCTCACATCAATAGATATAAACAATTCACCAAAGTTTTATGCAAATTGGTTAAAGCGTTTTTTAGTTAATGTCCGACATGTTGACGACGGACGGACAGACGGACGGACGGACGGACGGACAGACGGACAACCGTATACCATAATACGTCCCGTAAACGGGCGTATAAAAACCCTTGAATTTAATTTTTGTAAAAAGTTTAATTTTGGACCCTTCTGACCTTAATGTGGACCAATTTGAAAAATGGGCCCAAAATCAAAAATCTAAATACACGAATAGATTCAGCATATTAAAGAACCCCAATAATTCAAGACTTTGAATTAAGATCCCATTGAAATTGCGCAAGAAATAAGCAATTTATACAAAGTATTAATAAACTGCTTCGCAGAGCTCAGCTGGATACAACCGCAGAGGTCCAACCCTGATCAGTTGGGGCAAAAATGGACACAATATTCAAGCTTGATACAGGTCTGAATTTCGATTGTAATTAAATATTTGACACATTATAGGTTTCTGACACAGAATAAATGTAGTCAAAGAACTTGAAATTGGTTATATGATTTGAATTTATATTCAATTGGAGATTTCTTGCTGTTGTGCAATACACTTTGCTGTTGCGCAAATCTTAGTAATTCTGTTTTCAGACTATATACATGAATTAGCAAAGTAAATTGCGACCCCACAGGAAAATTGACAATTTCTTAAATCTTGAGGGAAAAAAAAAAATTACCACATACATTGATAAAACGTTCATGTCTGCCAGTTTCTATTCTTAAACAGTGACTGCTGAGTCTGTATTTTGTTAACAAATGTTTTTGGGGGTGCTTTAAATCTAAATAATTTTCATAGTCAATGACCTCTTGAATGAAAAAAAAGTGTCCAATTTGCCTTTATTCTGTAAATAAAAATCTCGCATTTTCTCCCGATCATTTTGAAAATTTAATTTGAGCTGTTTTTTCAGTAAATTTTTAAATTTATTTTTGCCTAAATTTTTACATATATTTAGGTCAATACCCAATTTTTCGCTAAAGCGGCTATAGAAAATTATATTAGAGAGCCATGAATTATGGGAGATAGTTTGAGCTTTACTCTCAATCATTTTTAACTCAGCATAAGCACTTTTCAATAAATCAGATGGGGAATTCTCTAGTCTATGCCAATACATAAACATATGTGTTAGCAAATTTATATAAAGAGGATATCTACCCAGTTCAGACAGGACTGCTACGTTTGTGTACATCTTTGTAACACCAATAATATACTTGCAAAATTTAAAATTTAGCTTCTCAAACTCCCAATCTTTAAATATGTCATAAAGGGATAATTTTTTCCTTTTAGGAGTAATGTTAATAACACCCCAATTTTCACAACCATACGTTACAATTGGCTGTATACGATGATCAAATAAATGCAAAAGAGTTTTAATAGGAGGATTTGATGATTTCAAATCTTTATACAGTTTAAAACTGGCCTTTTGACCTTTTTGGAATAATTGTTTCCTGGCTTCATTAAAGTTTCCAGTATTTTGGATGACTATGCCAAGATATTTGTATTGTTTAACACTTTCGATAGAATTATTTCCTATCTTGAAATCTTCATTAAGGAGTCTACCACTCCTATTGAATATAATAATCTTTGTTTTCTTCACATTTATTTCCATACACCAATCTTTGCAGAATGTGCACAAAGTATCAATTCTCTTCTGAAGCCCTTCTTTTGAGTCAGATATTAATACAAGATCATCAGCGTATAGTAGACATGGTATCTTTTCATTATCTAAATTGACATTATCATAATTGTTTGACAATATATCTGGCAAATCATTAATAAATAGTTTAAACAATGTGGGACTCAAGACATCATTGTATATATTTAAAGACAATTCAGGTGTTCTCTAAACCTAGTTAAATTTACTTCAGTATTACTAAGGTACCTGTACTTTTTAAATGCTGTAATGTCTCACCCCCCCAAAATAAATGTAGAATAGTACCGTACCTGATGTTGGTAAACTGATGGAAGCCTTCCTCATAGCAAGTTCTGTGAGTGGAAGCACACACTGCTCCATATTACACACATGTTGTATATCTGGTGGCAATAATATTGGTAACTTTTCTGTTAATGTATGCTGGATCTTAACATAGGGAAAATGTTCTAAGATTTCTGTAGACAATGGTTCACAACCACATCTAAAAAATATATATTAAAAAGATACAAACTCTTACATAGTAATTAGAATAGTATCAAAGTTTATTTAGAGCCTGGAGAAAAACTAGACGAGAAATCATTTCCTCCTTCCAATGTTTCATTGACCATCTCCATGAGGGTTTACGATATGAGGGAAAGATTTATTCAAAATTATAGTATTCAAGGAGCTCCTGAAATATTTCAGGACCACCATTCCAATTCAGGATATCCACAAATCATTGAGGACCTCCAGAAATATTTGCAGACCTCCATAACTTGATTTCAGGATAGCCTGAAAAATTCAGGACCTCAACAAAAAATCGGTCAAAATGGCTTTATTTCAGGAGGTCCTAAAATATTTCAGAATATCCTTAATATTTATGGAGATCTATAATTATATATTTCAGGACCTCAAATTTCAATTTCAGGATATCATGAAATATTTATGAATGTGCATAATTATTTCAGAATCTCCATAATTTGATTTATGATATCCTTCAATTGATTTCATGATGTCCTAAATCAAATTGTGGAGATCCTGAAATAATTGTGGACCTCCTGAAATATTTAAAGATATCCTGATTTTTAAATATGGAGTTTTTGATATAGATAATAATGGAGCTCCTTAAATATTCAGGAGATCCTTAAATATTTAAGAACCTCCTAAAATAAAGCAATTTCGACAGATTATTTGTGGAGGTCATGAAATATTTTAGGATATCAAGTTATGGAGTTCCTGAAATCAAATTATGGAGGTCATGAAATATTTCAGTAGGTTCCCAATGATTTATGGATATCCTGAATTCAAATTATGGAGGTCCTGATATATTTCAGGAGCTCCTTAATTACAATTATTTTGACTAAATCTGCACCTCGTATTATAATAGTATGTTACATAGAGTAACATCATATAAAACAACAGTTATCAATATAATTGCTATCTATGTCAGGTTATAGAAATTCTATGCTTCTTTTATCACATCTTTTATTTGGTGCATGATGCATACAAAGTTCTATTATGGTTTCTTTTCTGTACTATATGCAACTGGCCATTAAGAAAACTATCAACCAATCTTTTTCTGTATTCATAACATTCACAACATTGCATAATCAAAATGGTTCAGTCAAAAAAAATAGTAAAATGAGTTGGATGGAAGTTTATATAGATTTAAAAATAATATACCTGTAGAAACCAATTTCCTTTCCTAACACAGTGGATGGCAAAGTATACAATCTTTCATTCTTATCCACATACAGAGTATGCAAGGCATCTTTGCTTCCTATATCTGAAGAACAGTGTATTTATGACAATAACATGAATAAATGGATTTCACAAGTAATAAAACACTACATGTATTTGGTAATCAATGTGGGATATGAATGTTCTTTAACAGTGTTCATGTTGATTTCATGAAAAGTACCTGAATTAATTAGGTTCTTAGAAGTTGATTCTGACATCATCATTGTCACATAAAAACAAAAATCACTGAAGAATGATACGTAGGTTAGAGTGACCAAATTTTTTGTTAAGGACCTAGTAATGCAGTATTCAAAATACATCGATATCCTTACTGCAAGTAATATGACTGTAGGTCATCAGAACTGGACTAAGAAATAAAACTATGGTTAATGAAGCATGAAATGAAGTCAGAGTGAACTAATTTAGTTTAAAGCTTGTGATCCATCTTAGCTAGGAAATAGAATATTTGCAACAGTAAAACCAAGTTTTACAAATGCTTATCTGAATAAATATTTATAATACAGTTATAGATCACTGTTCTAATGCAAATTATACAAACATTCCATTTAAGTCACTATTTCCCTCTAAAAATATGTATAAGAAATTCTTCAAAACAATGTTTTTTTTCGTTTTGGGGCCCTATAAACATTTTCAAGCCAAAGGTACATTTCCTGCATCAAATGTTTTTTATGCTACATATACACTTCAGAATGGAATAATATTTAACAAGAAAAAGATTTTCCCTTAGTTACAGACATAATTTTACCCTTCTTATTAAAAAATTACATTGTCCGGTCAAAACCACAGTTACAAACAAATTGCATAAGAATTGGATATAATAAAATGCTCTGCTGGGGTGCAGCTTGATACGACCGCAGAGGTCGAACCCTGAACAGTTGGGGCAAGTATGGACACAACATTCAAGCTTGATACAGCACTGAATTTGGATTGTAATTAAATATTTGACACAGCATAGGTTTCTGACACAGAATAAAAGTGGTCTAAGAACTTAAAAATTTTTAATTTACTTATTCAAACCATATCATTATTATTTGCTTTTATATATAAATCAGAAATAACGAATTTAAAATGGAAAATTTTAAAGAAAAAAAGGAAAAAAAAATCCCCCCCCAAATATTTTGAACCCCCTTATGATTCATCACCCCCAAAATCAATCCCAGCTTTCCCTTTGTGATATGGTACCTTGCAGTACAATTTCAGAGAGATCCATACACTTGAACACAAGTTATTGTCTGGAAACTAGAAAAATGCTTGTTTTTTGGCCACTTTTTGGCCCCTTATTCCTAAACTTTTTGGGCAATTACCCCCAAACTCAATTCCAGCTTTCCCTTTGTGATATGGAACCTTGCAGTACAATTTCATAAAGATCAATACACTTACACACAAGTTATTGTCCTGAAACTAGAAAAATTCTTGTTTTTTTGCCCTTTTATGGCCCCTAATTACTAAAATTTTGAGGGAATTACCCCCAAAATCAATCCAAGCCTTCCCTTTGTGGTATGGTACCTTGCAGTACAATTTCAGAGAGATCCATACACTTGAACACAAGTTGTTGTCTGGAAATTAGAAAAATGCTTATTTTTGGCCCCTTTTTGGCCCCTTATTCCTAAACTTTTTGGGCAATTACCCCCAAACTCAATTCCAGCTTTCCCTTTGTGATATGGAACCTTGTAGTACAATTCTATAAAGATCCATACACTTACACACAAGTTATTGTCATGAAACTAGAAAAATGCTTGTTTTTTGCCCCTTTTTTGCCCCTAATTCCTAAAATTTGGAGGCAATTACCCCCAAAATCAATCCCAGCATTCCCTATGTGATATGGAACCTTGTGATACAATGTCAGAGAGATCCATACACTTACACACAAGTTATTGTCATGAAACTAGAAAAATGCTTGTTTTTGCCCCTTTTTGGCCCCTAATTCCAAAAATTTGGAGGCAATTACCCCCAAAATCAATCCCAGCATTCCCTATGTGATATGGAACCTTGTGGCACAATGTCAGAGAGATCCATACACTTACACACAAGTTATGTCTGGAAGTTACAAAAATGCTTATTTTTGGCCCCTTTTTGGCCCCTAATTCCTTAACTGTTGGTACCATAACCCCCAAAATCAATCCCCACCTTCCTTTTGTGGTATTGAACCTTATGGTAAAATTTCATTGAGATCCATTCACTTAAACTAAAGTTAGAGTGCGAAAAGTAATGTGTCTTCGGACGACGACGACGACGCCAACGTCATACCAATATACGACCACAAAAATTTTTTTGCGGTCGTATAAAAACATAACTAAAGTAACTGAACTCAGAAGCATAAAATGTAGGTCAAAGTGACCTTATTTTGATTGTGACCTTTTACTCTTTACTAGATGCATGTTCTATGACAGCTACTTACTCTGCATCTGAGAACTAAACTAGCACATACATTTAGTCATAGTCACTGACATATGAAATGACGGTCATAGTGGTGAACTAATTTCGAAAGGAACTCGTAAAAATTCCTTTAATCCATCATTATGACAACCTACTTGAGTATGGTAATTAATTTTTGATTGTAGGTCATTTAGTACTTGGATAAACAAATTAACTTAAGTCATTCAAGCACAAAATGTTAATCAGAGTAACCAATATCTTAAAACTGAACATAAATCTATGTTGTAAAATGAAGGTGCCAGTAACATAGTTACATCAAATTCGTAGGTTGAAGGTCATTTTTTTATCTAAAACTTTCAACTTAAAAACCAAGCAACTATGAAATATGGGTCACATGTGCACTTCAGCTTAAGTTGCATGGAAAGGTCTGCAAGGTGCACTTGCACATTCAATTATATGACTGTATGTCAAAATGTATCTGAGAAATGACTGTGGGCATCAAAAAGTCTAAACAACAGTTGCATTTCAGGTATATAGAAGGATGGGCAAGGACATGTGATATGTATGCATGGCATAACTAGAAAACTCAATTGAAAGCTTTTTTTCATCTTTTCATTCCTTTTTTTTTTGTTAATAGAGATCTGATAATATATTGAATTATGAAATTATTGTAAACATACCTTGAGGTAGAACATATAAGTTATTTCCAACTGCAGAAAATTCAATCAGATTCACTAAATTCCTTAGTTGTCGAGGAAGAAAGGTCAACCTATTGTTGTCAAGGTTCAAGGTTAAAAGTTTTTGACATTGTGATAATTCCACTGGTATTGTATTTAAATTGTTATTGGCTACTTCTAAAGACCTCAGTTCAGAAAGCTTTCCAATACCTGAAAAAAATGTATGTGAGGTATTTAAGTTCTATAATGTCAGTAAGAGGCTGGTAGTTTTCTTTGGACAGAAGAGTTTTTTTTATACCTGTATAGTAAAACTAAATTTTTTTTACGCTGGTTTTTTATTTTACCATCTCATATGTAATATTTTCCTTCTAATGATCTATATTAAAAACAATAGAAAAAAATGTGGATAGTGTCCACATGTGGACACAGATGATGCCCCTGCTTGCATATCATATAGTTATAAAGGGACATAACTGAAGAATGGTAAAATTGACGCTACCCAAATTTGAACTTGATCTGAGTTTTGTGGTAATAAGCATTGTGTGTAAGTCTCATAACATTTGGTTGAGGCTAACTTAAGTAGAGAACAGAAACTAAAAATTCAGCAATTTTTCTATTTGTAAACACGCATAACTCTAGAATGGTTGTGTATAAGTTTTATAACCTTTGGTTGAGACAAACTAAAATAAATGTGGATAGTGTCCACATGTGGACAAAGATGATGCCCCCGCTTGCATATCATATAGTTATAAAGGGACATAACTGAAGAACGGTAAAAGTGACGATACCCAAATTTGAACTTGATCTGAGTTTTGTGGTAATAAGCATTGTGTGTAAGTCTCATAACATTTGGTTGAGGCTAACTTAAGTAGAGAACAGAAACTAAAAATTCAGCAATTTTTCTATTTGTAAACACGCATAACTCTAGAACGGTTGTGTATAAGTTTTACAACATTTGGTTGAGACAAACTAAAAAATTCAGCAATTTTTATATTTATAAAGGGACATAACTCTAGAATGGTAAAAGTGTTGCCACCTAATTTCGTACTTAATCTGTATTATGTAGTAATAAGCATTGTGTATAAGTTTCATAACATTTGGTTGAGGCAAACTCAAGTTAGAGAAATGAAACAAAAAAATTGTACTTGATCCTTACTGAGTTTTGTGGTAATGAATATTGTGTATAGGTTTCAAAATGTTTGGCTGGGGAAAACTTCAGTTACAGAATGGAAACTAAAAAATTTTGCAATCTTTCTATTTATAAAGGGGCATAACTCAATAATGGTTAAAGTGACACTACCCAAATTCAACTTGATCTGTGTTTATCAGTGGAAGTCAAAATTAAACATTGCATTGTATAAAGCATTGATTGTAGTTGATTCAACTATAATCATGGTCAAAGGAAGATAACTCCAATTTAAATAAATCTGAGTTTTGTGGTAATAAGCATTGTGTGTAAGTCTCATAACATTTGGTTGAGGCTAACTTAAGTAGAGAACAGAAACTAAAAATTCAGCAATTTTTCTATTTGTAAACACCCATAACTCTAGAACGGTTGTGTATAAGTTTTACAACATTTGGTTGAGACAAACTAAAAAATTCAGCAAATTTTATGTTTATAAAGGGACATAACTCTAGAATGGTAAAAGTGTTGCCACCTAATTTCGTACTTAATCTGTATTATGTAGTAATAAGCATTGTGTATAAGTTTCATAACATTTGGTTGAGGCAAACTCAAGTTAGAGAACTGAAACAAAAAAATTGTACTTGATCCTTACTGAGTTTTGTGGTAATGAATATTGTGTATAGGTTTCATAATGTTTGGCTGGGGAAAACTTCAGTTACAGAATGGAAACTAAAAAATTTTGCAATCTTTCTATTTATAAAGGGGCATAACTCAATAATAGTGACACTACCCAAATTCAACTTGATCTGTGTTTTATCAGTGGAAGTCAAAATTAAACATTGCATTGTATAAAGCATTGATGTAGTTGATTCAACTATAATCATGGTCAAAGGAAGATAACTCCAATTTTAAAAATATATTATATAAACTTGATATTTAGAAAAAAATAAAAATTTTGCAATTTTTCCTTTTATAAAGGGGCATAACTCTAGATCAGTTAAAGTGACACCACCAAAATTCAAACTTGATCTGTGTTTTGTGGTAATAAGCATTGTGTATAAGTTTCATAACATTTGGTTGAGGCAAACTTAAGTTAGAGAACGGAAACTAAAAATTTTGCAATATTTCCTTTTATAAAGGGGCATAACTCTAGATCGGTTAAAGTGACGCCACCAAAATTCAAACTTGATCTGTGTTTTGTAGTAATAAGCATTGTGTATAAGTTTCATAACATTTGGTTGAGGCAAACTCAAGTTAGAGAACGGAAACCAATTTCGGGACGTACGTACGTACGTACGTACGTACAGACGGACAAGGGTAAAACTTAATGCCCCCTCCGCTACGGCCTCCGCTACGGCGGGGGCATAAAAATATATTATATGAACTTGATATTTAGAAGAAAATAAAAATTTTGCAATTTTTCCTTTTATAAAGGGTCATAACTCTAGATCGGTTAAAGTGACACCACCAAAATTCAAACTTGATCTGTGTTTTGTGGTAATAAGCATTGTGTATAAGTTTCATAACATTTGGTTGAGGCAAACTTAAGTTAGAGAACGGAAACTAAAAATTTTGCAATATTTCCTTTTATAAAGGGGCATAACTCTAGATCAGTTAAAGTGACGCCACCAAAATTCAAACTTGATCTGTGTTTTGTGGTAATAAGCATTGTGTATAAGTTTCATAACATTTGGTTGAGGCAAACTAAAGTTAGAAAACGGAAACTAAAAATTTTGCAATATTTCCTTTTATAAAGGGGCATAACTCTAGATCAGTTAAAGTGACGCCACCAAAATTCAAACTTGATCTGTGTTTTGTGGTAATAAGCATTGTGTATAAGTTTCATAACATTTGGTTGAGGCAAACTAAAGTTAGAAAACGGAAACAAAAAATTTGTACTTGATCTTAGATTTGTGGTAATGAATATTGTGTATAGGTTTCATAATGTTTGGTTGGGGCAAACTTAAGTTACAGAATGGAAACTAAAAATTTTGCAATCTTTCGATTTATAAAGGGGCATAACTCAATAATGGTTAAAGTGACACTACCCAAATTCAACTTGATCTGTGTTTTATCAGTGGAAGTCAAAATTAAACATTGCATTGTATAAAGCATTGATTGTAGTTGATTCAACTATTATCATGGACAAAGTAAGATAACTCCAATTTTGAATAAAATGCTCCATTGGGGCGCAGCTTGATACGACCGCAGAGGTCGAACCCTGAACAGTTGGGGCAAGTATGGACACAACATTCAAGCTTGATACAGCACTGAATTTGGATTGTAATTAAATATTTGATACAGCATAGGTTTCTGACACAGAATGAATGTGGTCTAAGAACTCAAAATTTTTTAATTTACCTATTCAAACCATATCATTATTATTTGCTTTTATATATATGGTATGGTACCTTGCAGTACAATTTCAGAGAGATCCATACACTTGAACACAAGTTATTGTCTGGAAACTAGAATAAACTACTTCGCTGAGCGCAGCTGGATACGCCCGCAGAGGTCCAACCCTGAACAGTTGGGTCAAAAATGGACACAATATTCAAGCTTGATACAGGTCTGAATTTTGATTGTAATTAAATATTTGACATATTATAGGTTTCTGAATAAATGTAGTCAAAGAACTTGAAATTGGTTATATGAATTGAATTTATATTCAATTAAAGATTTCTTGCTGTTGTGCAATACACTGTGCTGTTGCGCAATACTTAGTAAATCTGTTGTCAGACTATAAACAAATAAAGTTCAATTAATTCTCAATGTCATATTAGAAATTTATGAAAATGTAAAGGGAGCTTACATCAATAGATTTAAAAAATTCACCAAAGTTTCATGAGAATTGCTGACAGCATTTTTGAGTTATTGTCTGAAAACTGGAAAATTCCCCCTTTTTTAATGAATAAAACCCCAGAACTCAGAAATGATAAATGAAAAATATATAAAATTCTAAATGGAGCTTACATCAATAGATATAAACAATTCACCAAAGTTTCATAAAAACTGCTAAAAGCGTTTTTGATTTTTTGTCCAAAAACTGGAAAATCACCCTTTTTTATGAATAAAACCCTGTAACTCAGAAACGTAAAATCTCAAATATATAAAAATCGAAAGGGAGCTCATGTCAAAAGGTATAAACAATTCACCACAATTTCTTGCAAGTTGGTGAAAGCATTCTTGAGTTATTGTCCGAAAACTGGAAAATCCCCCTTTTTTTAATGAATAAAACCCCACAACTCGGAAACATAAAATCTAAAATTTATAAAATTCAACAGGGAGCTCATGTCAATAGATATAAACAATTCACCACAATTTCTTGCAAGTTGGTGAAAGCATTCTTGAGTTATTGTCCGAAAACTGGAAAATCCCCCTTTTTTTAATGAATAAAACCCCATAACTCAGAAACGTACAATCTAAAATTTATAAAAAAGGAAAGGGAGTTCATGTCAAAAGATATAAACAATTCACCAAAGTTTTATGCAAATTGGTTAAAGTGTTTTTGAGTTAATGTCGGACATGTTGACGACGGACGGACAGACGGAAGGACAGACGGACAACGGTATACTATAATACGTCCCGTAAACGGGCGTATAAAAATGCTTATTTTTGGCCCCTTTTTGGCCCCTAATTCCTTAACTGTTGGTACCATAACCCCAAAATCAATCCCCACCTTTCTTTTGTGGTATTGAACCTTGTGGTCGTATAAAAATTATTTGATATTTAGAAGAAAATGAAAATTTTGAAATTTTTCCTTTTATAAAGGGGCATAACTCTAGAACGATAAAAGTGACGCCACCAAAATTAAAACTTGATCTGTGTTTTGTGGTAATAAGCATTGTGTATAAGTTTCATAACATTTGGTTGAGGCAAACTTAAGTTAGAGAACGGAAACAAAAAATTTTGCAATTTTTCCATTTATAAAGGGGCATAACTCTAGAACGATTAAAGTGACGCCACTAAAATTCATACTTGATCTGTGTTTTGTGGTAATAAGCATTGTGTATAAGTTTCATAACATTTGGTTGAGGCAAACTCAAGTTAGAGAACGGAAACCAATTTTGGGACTTGCATAAAGACGTACAGACGCACAAGGGTAAAACTTAATGCCCCCACCGCTACGGCAGGGGCATAAAAAACATAGAATAACCCACTACATATACCTGTCCAAAAAATCTAAGCAGTGATTGTTATGGGTTTTTCTATCATTCAAAGCATTTTGTGTTGATGGCAGATCTTTGATAGTCTCATTTAAAATAATCCACTTCTTGTTTAGACTTGGGGTATTGAAGACATGTCTATTGTTGAAGACATTATGTTAGACTCAAGATGTTTTCTTGCTTTTTGATTTGTTTTTGTTTTTGTTTTTTGTTTTTTGTTTGAGGGGGGATTGTTGGGTTTCTTGTAGAATGGATGTATACCCCACATCTCCTTTTAATTATAATAATTATGCATATGGGCAAATACAGTGTTAAATAACCATAACAACTTTAATAAAATGCTCCACTGGGTGCAGCTTGATACGACCGCAGAGGTCGAACCCTGAACAGTTGGGGCAAGTATGGACACAACATTCAAGCTTGATACAGCACTGAATTTGGATTGTGATTAAATATTTGACACAGCACAGGTTTCTAACACAGAATGAATGTGGTCTAAGAACTTAAAAAAAATTAATTTACCTATTCAAACCATATCATTATTATTTGCTTTTATATATACATCAGAATTAACCAATTTCAAAATGGAAAATTTTAAAGAAAAAAAAAAAATCCCCCCCAAATTTTTTGAACCCCTTATGATTCATCACCCCCCAAACTCAATCCCAGCCTTCCCTTTGTGGTATGGTACCTGCAGTACAATTTCAGGATCCATACACTTGAACACAAGTTATTGTCTGGAAACTAGAAAAATATTTATTTTTGGCCCCTTTTTTGCCCCTTATTCCTAAACGTTTTGGGCAATTACCCCAAAACTCAATTCCAGCTTTCCCTTTGTGATATGGAACCTTGTAGTACAATTTCAGAAAGATCCATACACTTACACACAAGTTATTGTCATGAAACTAGAAAAATGCTTGTTTTTTGCCCCTTTTTTTGCCCCTAATTCCTAATATTTTGAGGCAATTACCCCCAAAATCAATCCCAGCATTCCCTGTGTGATATGGAACCTTGTGGTACAATGTCAGAGAGATCCATACACTAACACACAAGTTATGTCTGGAAGTTACAAAAATGCTTATTTTTGGCCCCTTTTTGGCCCCTAATTCCTTAACTGTTAATACCATAACCCCCAAAATAAATCCCAACCTTCCTTTTGTGGTATTGAACCTTATGGTAAAATTTCATAGAGATCAATTCACTTAAACTAAAGTTAGAGTGCGAAAACCAAAGTGTCTTCGGACGACAACGATGACGACGACGCCAACGTCATACCAATATACAACCGCAAATATTTTGCGGTCGTATAAAAACTGCCAATCTCATATCATGACCAGATTGATACTAAATATGGCAGCTACTGTAGAAGACTTTAGAGGATTGCTTTCATATACAGACAGACAGATGGACACTGTCCTCTAGAATGTCCCTCTCTTCATGGCACTATTTTCAAAGCATCAAATCTAAATCAATTATATACTTACTTGTCTGTTGTTGATAACCATATACTGACCTCTATACAAGGTTTATTTTGGCTTGGAGGGTATTTTTAGATTTCTGTCTCATTATTAATGTATAGTACCATATCTGAACAATTCATTACTTTCAATTCAGAAGTTACTGAATAAATAAGTTAAATTCATTTTAGATTTTGATAAAAATACAAAAGATTTGCCAGTTAATACAAATTTCTTAGTAAAATACATGCTTAATAAAGGTTACATTTCATACAACATTTCTTTCAGAATTGACTGTATATTTACATGTAGGAAGTCTGGATAATTTGTTGTTACACATCTGTAGTTTCTGTAACTTTAACAAGTTCCCTATGGCAGTTGGCAGACTTGTTAACTCATTACCAGTAACATTTAAAGTATCTAGATTCTTCAAACAACCAATGGCTGCAAATAAAAACACTAGATCAGAGATATGTCTCGCATGTGTGTGATTTCAACAGAATAATGCAAATATTGAAACTTAAATAAAAACATTTCTAACAAGTATACTATGCTAAAGTTTTAAAGTCATTGGACCATGACTAAAAGTAAAAAAAAATGGGGTAGAGCAAAATAGTCTACATGCAAATGTAGTGTAATGCAGATCACACAAATATGCAAAAGTAAATTAAACCTGACTGGGTCAGGACCAAATAATATCCATGGAAACGAGTTGTGCCGATGCTAATCCAACAAGATTCCTTACATCATGTACTGCCATTAGTGGTTCTCCTTAAACTGATATAATCAAAAACATGCAAAAAGAGAGAGAAGATACCAAGGAGCAATCAAAATCCATAAGTCCACTGGACATTAAGCAACCAACAATTAATCAATGAATATCCATAAGTTGAAGGCAAAAAGTCAATGCAGTAACTATGGTCATCAAGAAAATAGACAAAAAGACACAGTCCCTGAAACACAATAGAGATAACTACAGATTAAGAAACACAAAAACCAAGGTGGAACTCAGATGCTCTAGAAAGGATCAACAATTCATGCTCCACTTAAGTGAAATCAGCTGTGTTAATCTGAATATTCATAAACTAACAAATCAACAAAAAAATATGCCTAATCCAACTGCATACCAAATATCATTGACTTACCATAAGCATTTCCCTTTTTTTTTTTACCTTAATCACAAATTTATTAACTTCTTTCTGCCTTTACCCTAGAGTTCATCAACTGAAAAAGCACATGTAAGACTCCCCTGTACAAAAGTTTCTTAAATGAAAAATAAACTGTTTACAATTTAAGTCTGAAATAAAATGTTTCCCAGTTGAACAGCATATAAAAAATAAAATGCTTCGCTGAGCGCAGCCTGATATGACAGCAGAGGTTGAACCCTGAACAGTTGGGGCAAATTTGGACACAATATTCAAGCTTGATACTGTCTGAATTTGGATTGTGATAAAATTTTTGACATAATAGAGGTTTCTGACACAAAATAAATGTGGTCAAAGATCTTATAAATCCATTGCCCAATACTGTGCAATTGAAGATTTCTTCTTGAAACTTTTCAAAAATTCAAAATTTTAAAAATTTTGAAAAAAAAATATGAACCCCTTAAAAAAAATTGGGAAAAAAATTCCCCCCCTCCCCAACTTTTTGAAACCCCCCTTGGAGCAATAACCCCAAAACTCAATCCCAGCCTTTCCTTTGTAGTATGGAACCTTGTAGTACAATTTCAGAGAGATCCATACACTTACACACAAGTTATTGTCTGGAAACTTGAAAAATGCTTGTTTTTAGCCCTTTTTTGGCCCCTAATTCCTACATAATTGGGGCAATTAACCCCAAACTCAATCCCAGCCTTTCCTATGTTATATGGAACCTTGTGGTACAATGTCAGAGAGATTCATACACTTACACACTAGTTATTGTCTGGAAACTAGAAAAATGCTTGTTTTTGGCCCCTTTTTGGCCCTTAATTCCTAAACTGTTGTCCCCATAACCCCTAAAATGAATCCATCCAAACCTTCTACTTGTGGTATTAAACATTGTGGTACAATTTCAGAGCAATAGAAATACTTATACACAAGTTATTATCCTGAAACTAGAAAAATGCTTGTTTTGGGCCCCTTTTTGGGCCCCTAATTCTTAACGGTTGGGACCATCATCCCCAAAATCAATCCCAACCTTCCTTTTGTGGTATTGAACCTTCTTCAAAAATTTCATAGAGATCCATTCACTTAAACTAAAGTTATTGTCCGGAAACCAATATGTCTTTGGACGATGACGCACAGGCAGACGCAGACGACGACAACATCATACCATTATACGATCCCAAAAAAATGTTTGCGGTCGTATAATTACCTTTTGGGAGAAACTGTAATTTGTTGTGATTTACAAATCTGAAAAATAGTTGTCAATTAATTAGATTTTATTCCTGTCTAATATTAACATGATTGAATTTACAAATGAATCTATTCTAAAGGATGGCTTAAATAAGCATATTTAACATTTGTTTTTGTGTTTTTTAAGAACATCCTGGACTAAATGACTATTTAATTAATTATTGCTTAATGTGCAGCATCAAATATTTACTGCATTAAACAGGCTGACAATTTATGTCCTTATGCAACATAAAACTAATATGACAACTAAAAGTGAGATAAGCAACTGAAAAGAATGAACATCTTCCTGAAATTCATTAAAGTTTCATTTTTAATTTTCTCTATTTCATCAACTAATAATGAATTATCTCCCCTTTTATACTGTGATATTTGTCTCTGCTTTTTAAAAATTTGTAAACATAAAATCAAAATCATCAAACATCAGGAATGTGTCCTTATCACTAAGTTCTAACAAGACTTACAGACACTTTTCTCATGAAAATGCTTGTACACTTCATACACACATTAGACTTTACAACTGTGGAAACACTATCCTTGCACTTTTTTACAATAGAATATACTAATAATTTTACAAAGGTACTTACAGTCCAGTTAATGCTGAGAGGTTACCAAGATTTTCAGGCTGAAAATATTGAAAATAATCAAACAATTAAATGCAATAAATTATAATTAATTATATTTATCAAATATCTTCTTAGGAAAAAATCTGATACCCTACTATGAAGGCTAAATCTTTGTGTATTTACCTTTTTACTATATAATAATGGTCAAATTATAACAATATAGTCATGTTCCTGCATGCATATTTTCCAATGAAACAAAACAATGAAAAAATTGTTTTCATTTAAAATGAATAAAAAATAATTAAATTTTATAAATCAGATTTGCATGTTCCTCTAAATGTAACAAATCACAAAACTCAAGCAATGTACATTGAATGCTTTATGATGGTAACTGCACACTAATGGCATATGTTCCTTATTGATAGGGACAGTGGATCTTCTGCAAGGTATGCTTTTACCTATGAGCAATGTTCAGGATGAACATCTGTTAACATTTATTAGATTCCAGGTTCCATTTTTGTGTTCTTAATACTCTAACCATAAGATTCCCTATTTTACAAGACATCTTACCAACTTAGTTATCAAGTTTCTTCCTAGGTAAATGAGATTCAATGCCTTATAACTCTCATCTGTCAGTAGATATTCTGGTATCTCTGTTAAACCTTTGTATGTTAACTGTAAACTGCAAACCTGGTTACAAACTGAAATATAGTTTTTTGAAGTTTGATGTTTTTTTAAGAATGAAAATAGATGAACTCATGAATCAAACCAAAACCTACAAAATAAACCATTCCATTCATGGCTGACATGTGAACAAGAAATTTATAGTAATTCTAATAGTCAGTAAATTGCACTAGAAGTTAAGTGATTTATCTCCCCTGATTTTGATTTGTACCTTGTATAATAATGATTTTGTGAATGTGAAAGTAAATATTATGTCAATATCTTCAAACAAGAGGAATGAATAGCAAATAAACATTTCAAAGACACATTTCTTCCACATTTAACATGTTTAAAAGATAATTCAATCATCCATATATATAAATAAAATCTTACCTTGATTTTGCTGCTCTGGTACATCCATTCTTCCTAGAGTGAGTGACCAGATTTATAAACTAAAGCCCTGTAATGAGAAACATACATATAACATGTTGAATTTCTACATTGTAGTATAATAAAAAAAACACTAAGAATTCAGTTCGATTTATGGGTTTCAACTTTTGTGTCTAGCAAAATAATCTTAATAGTTTAATCAGGGACTTTCTATACTAATAGTTAGTATAGAAAGTTCCTGGTTTTATGTCAATTTTCATCATTTCGTCAGTAATTATTTAATGAAATCAAAGCATCGTCGGTGCTGCAATTCAGCCATTTTTTAGTCATGGCAGGTAGACAAGACATTTTTTCGGATCTCATTATTAATTAAAAAAAAATTATACATGCTCCTATTAGACATTTAGAGACAACCATCACAACTTAATTTGGATAAGTGATTTTGGCCCAAAATGTTAATTTGTGTTCCAACCGAAAAGAAACCAAGGGACAATCTAATATCATATGTTTAAAAAAAAAACAAAAAAAAACAGACAACACAAGGATTGAATGTAGCACTTCATCATTTTCATTATTATTTCACTAAAAAAATTACCAGTGTTATTTTTCTTTTTTAAACACAGGTATACAATTTTTCTACCTGATCTTCTGATCATTTATTGATTTTTTATAAAAATTATGACACTGAAGATAAATGGTTTTGTTTCATTTCCATAATCCTACTCAAAAAATTGTGTTCAACTGCCCAAAGATGGAGAATTTCTCAATTTTCATACAAATTCTTTTGATATTTCAATTTTTAGAAGGTGTTTTGATTTCTAATATTTTCTTTTTATTCAATTAAATAATTTTTGCATAATTGGAAATAGAAATCTTTACTAACCATTGATATTATGTTGATAGTCCTAAATTAAAGCTTTACTCATCTATCAACCTTACAATCATTCAATACACTAAATATAGTTGACCTATTGCTTATAGTTTCTAAGAAACAGACTTAACCAAGAAAACTTAACATTGACCAATGAACCATGAAAATGAGGTCAAGGTCAGATGAACCATGCCAGGCAGACATGTACACCTTACAATCAACCTAGTATGCATTAAATACAGTTGATCTATTGCTTATAGTATCTAAGAAACAAACTTAACCATGAAAACTTAACATTGACCAATGAACCAACAAAATGAGGTCAAGGTCAGATGATACCTGCCAGATAGACATATACAGCTTAAAATCCTTCTATACAAAAAATATAGTTGACCTATAGCTTATAGTTTAAGAAAAACAGACCAAAACAAAAAAAATTTAACACTGAGCAATGAACCATGAAAATGAGGTCAAGGTCAAATAAAGCCTGTGAGACTGACATGTGCATCATAAAATATTTCCATACACCAAATATAGTTGACCTATTGCATATAGTATTAGAAAAAAAGACCAAAGCTCAAAAACTTCACTTTGACCACTGAACCATGAAAATGAGGTCAAGGTCAGATGACACCTGCCAGTTGGACATGTACACCTTACAATCATTCCATACACCAAATATAGTAGACCTATTGCGTACAGTATAAGAAAAACAGACCAAAACACAAAAACTTAATTATAACCACTGAACCATGAAGATGAGGTCAAGGTCAAATGACACCTGCCAGTTGGACATGTACACCTTACAATCCTTCCATACACCAAATATACTAGACCTATTGCTTATAGTATCTGAGATATGGACTTGACAACGAAAACTTAACCTTGTTCACTGATCTATGAAATGAGGTCTAGGTCAAGTGAAAACTGTCTGACGGGCATGAGGACCTTGCAAGGTATGCACATACCAAATATAGTTATCCTATTACTCATAATAAGAGAGAAATTAACATTACAAAAAATCTTAACTTTTTTTTCAAGTAGTCACTGAACCATGAAATTGAGGTCAAGGACAATGGACATGTGACAGATGGAAACTGCGTAACATAAGGCATCTATAAAGGTCTTCCACCTTCTAAAATATAAAGCTTTTAAGAAGTTAGTTAACACCGCTGCCGCCTGATCACTATCCCTATGTCGAGCTTTCTGTGACAAGAGTCGCAGGCTCGACAAAAACGAGGAATTACACTTTTGTTGAATATTTTTCTTTCCAGGAAATAACAAGCATTTAGGATAAGAGTCAATTACTAATCCACTATTTTGTAATGCCATATAAAATTTGATACTTATCAATGTATTGTAAAGGCGTAACACAACAGGTGTCGCATGTAGAGCCGGATCTGCTTACCTTTCCGGAGCACCTGAGATCACCCCCAGTTTTTGGTTGGGTTCGTGTTGCTCAGTCTTTTAGATTACTATGTTGTGTTTTGTGTACTGTTGTTCATCTGTTCGTCTTTTTCTTTTTTAGCCATGGCATTGTCAGTTTATTTTCGACTTATGAGTTTGAATGTCCCTTTGGTATCTTTCGCCTCTCTTTTAATAAACCTTAAATTGTAACAGCATTCTTCTATACAGTTTTGTTTATCATTGTTTTGCTTATCCTTGTGTTTATGTTAACTATTGTACCAGCATTATATAGTTAGGTGCTTTTCCTGTCCTGATTTGTATTGTACAATCTATTATGTATCTTTCATTCTTCTGATTGAGGTTAAAGGTTTCAGGTGGTTAAAAAACAACCTAAATTCATGTGTATGTCCCCTATAAGGATCCTTGTCAGTGACTCTTCTTCAGATGCTGGATTCATTATTATTTAAGGGGTACTTATTTTGTGTATTTTGTATATAAAAGTTTGAGTGTTCAACAAAATACCAGTTTTCAATAGGTTTGTACATAAACAGAATTTGTATAAAACCATGAAACTACTAACTTACCATAAAAATACAACTCTTCTATTTACTTATTTATAATATATGAATTTGACTACATTGTTGTAATAAATATCTTATGATTTTTTTTTTATAATATAGAGAATTTAATGTTGATGGAATGGCATATCTATTACAGTCTAGTAGATTTATTCACAATTTTCAAAACTCAGGGAGAATATTGTACAAACTCTTTTCTATAATGATATATGTCGCTTGGTCTTTTATTTGTTTGGTTGATGTCTCATTGACTAATCATATCCACTTTTCCTTTTTCATGGCAAACTGGAAAGTATTAAGATGATAAATTAAAAATTGCCCTTTTTACATCTTATTTTTCAAGGAACTTTAATATAGATAATTTCAGGGAAATATCATGTTATCCTTGTTAAAATCCTTTCTGGATATCTCCAAAGTTATTGCAAAATGATCTGCTAAATAAAATAAGTATAGCAAATGCATAATGATGATTGATTGATTGTTGGTTACTTAACATCCAGTGGCAAATATTTCATGCATGTTCAGGACGATGAATAATGATGAGTTTATTGTAAATGATGCAAATTTTCTGTGCAACAAGGTTGTCAAACCCCTGGATCAAAAAAACTAAATGCACTTTACAAAAATTAGGATATTCATATCTTGTAGAAAAAAGTTGTTTAACAAAGCAGCACTTGGGACAAGTAAAACAAAGAATTTATGATCAGTGCTTGCAAAATCAAAATGCAAACATACAGGAATCTTCTAAACTCAGTTTCTTTCGTCGAGTCTACAAAATGGGTCAAAGACCATCATATGTTGATTCACTAAACAATGTAAATGATAGAGCAGCAATATGCAAAATACGCATAAGTGCACATTCTTTAATGATTGAAAGGGGAAGACATCTTAACATTCCTAGAGAGGAAAGATACTGTCCTGTCTGCAAAAATGGGGAAATTGAGGATGAACAACATTTCTTATTACAATGTAATAGATTTACCTCAAAACGAGAAATATTAGAAAATAAAATAAATGTTATATTTAAAATACAGCGTAACATTACCACTGATGATAAAATATCTCTATTGGTTAACAATAGCTCAGCATTATTACTAAGACTGTCTTCCTCTTTCATATCAGAGTGTCTAAATATAAGAAATAGTGAACTAATATGAATCACCAATATGTAACTTTTCATTCTATAATGATATGTTATCATGTAACTTTTCATTCTACCATGTCTATTAATATAATTATATGTATGCAATAGGTCTTAACCATTTATTGTTAATGAGTTTGTGCCAATAAAATATTTGTATTTGTATTTGTTACTTGAATTATTGCTTAACCCTGCATCTCTATTTTTTTAACCAAAATAAAAATAAAACATTGAAGCATGGATCCTGGAAGAATGGATGTAAAAAGTTACATGTAATTTGCAGTCTATGATTATTTAAGGTCTGCCATAGGTTTTTCAAAAACAAAATCCTAAGAATGTCAAAAACATATATTTCCATTACAAAATTCAGTTTAAAATTTTGTTTAGATTGAGAAACAGAAAGTTCAAATTTTTAAATTTTATATAGAAAAAAAGAAATCTTTAAAGTGGATCGAGACTGTTCTGGAATAAAACAAAAATCTGTAGTTTCACTATTTGGTTTTAATATTAAACTTATTAATGTCTTGTTGTTGTGCTTTCATGGGAACATCTAATTGAGAAGTCAACACTTTATACATATCACCTAAAGAGAATGTAAAATCTTTTAACTTTCAATTGTAGTATACTTACTTTATCTTTATTTCTATTTTCATTATATATATTGCATAACCAACAAATCCTCTTTAATGTATAATAGGTCCTGCTAAAATTATTTTAACCTACTGTTCCTTCCTATAGGTTTATTGTGACTGATTTATTGTTTCCATAGTGGCATAACATTTCCCATGATTACATGTACTATAGAATGTCCTGGAACTTTCTAGATTTGATCAGTATACATATATATATATATTCTGAAAAATATTGCCTTTATTGTTTTTACTGGTGGGGCACTTGTGCATTGAAGTGTTTTTTATAACCTAGATGAAGATGGATTACTTTTGCAAACATTTATCTTCTGTGCACCTTACTTTAAGTGTAACATGTTTGCATATCATGTAAATAGCTGCTGAGAAATCATTTCAGCTGTAGTCTTCACTTTGCAAATTAGTTTGTGGTCATTAGTTAAATCATCAAAAATGTACTTTATTTCATATCCTTATTATCCTGTATAATTAATCTATAAGAATTGGATACCAATAAAAGATACATTTTATTTTTTTTGCATTTCATTGCAGTAAATAATTAAAACAAAAATAAAAACAAAAAAATTATTTACTGCGAGGTTATAACATGTCTGCGCCCATGAATTCTCATGCAATTTTTTGAAATATACCTGTTTGATGCAAACTGATGACTATTTTGGTGGTATGAAGTGAGAAGGGCAGTCTTAAGGTGGTTATTACATTATACTTAAATAAAAAGCCTTGGTCAATAAGCAATACAGACCTGGGTTCTTGGATTCATCAAAATCATAATTATTTGGACTAGTGACAGTAGTGTACCAGAGCCTCAGAGGGGCGGTAGGAGGGGTGTCATCCCGAATTCCCGAAACAATAATACATTTTTTCCTGGAGCCAGAAAAAATATTTCTTAGTTACCAAGTCCTTAAAAGTGTAAATCACGAATTCCCGCTAATAATTACCCAATCCCGAATTCCAGCAAAAATATAGGCCTAATCCCGACATAATGAAAAAGGTCCTTTCCCCCCTCATACCATGAAAGAAGATTAGGTCCAGATAGAGTATATTGGGTCTCCTGTACTTGGCGATCGCAATACTGGTACTGGAATCAATTTTGTACTATGAAAAAAAAGGATTTCAAGGTAAAATGTTTGAGTGTTTTGTATATATTATTGAAGAAATCACATATGCCCTTTACCATGGACGAAATGTACATCATCTTAACCTTTGAAAGTTGCAGTTTTCCTATCAATTTTTTGGATCACACTCCATGCAGTCTGATCCATGTACGAGAAATATATCTTCATGCCCATGCATTGTGATACAAGAAATATCTCTTTGTGCAAGAAATAGATAACAGGCCACAACCATAAGAGAACCATATTTATGAATGATATGACAAACTTTGTAGAGTACTAATTGAAATGAAAATAATGATAGAATTATATGTTTAAATGATGATGTAGAGCAATTGTCATCTAAGGAAGTCTCAAATCTTCAGTGGTCTTTGTCTTAAGGGGACCATACTTTTCAAACAGTTAGAATGGACTCTTATATTTTTGTCAATCTTCGGTATACCAGTATTGTAGTCTTTTAATTTTATTTTACAATACTGGATCAAAATTTTATTCCAGTATTGTATACAATACTAGTACAAAAATGTATACCAGTATAACGATCATCAAGTACAAGAGATTCCATATGGATAAATAGCTATATAAATAATGATTTATTGCAAAATGAAACTACATCAAATGACTTTGAATCCTTCAATTAAGGCCATCAATCATTTTTGCATTTTACAAATTATGACTACAAAAATGAGAGAATGAAAATTCTTAACAATGTACATACATCAAGACATGATTCTTCTACCTGCTTTGAATTAACAGTGGACACTCTTTGTCAAACCTAGTAGTTGCCTCCCTTTGTCAAGAATTCAAAGTTTGGAAAGAAAGTAGATATTTTGAAAGAAATTAGAACTATTTTTACTTTAGTCTTTATAAAATGAGATCTACATGTGTAGGCTATAATATCTCAACAAGACACAAAAACATATATAAGCTTGATATAGTTAAAATGTTCTATGTTACTTGATGCTAAGATAAGGAGCCTTTTGTTTTATGTTTAGTACATGTAATCTACCATCAGTACTGGTATCTGAGAGGGCTTTATTTGAGTTATAACACAAAACATTGTTTATTTCAGATAATTACCGTATTTGATAGCAAACTAGTGATTACTACCTAATATGAGGAACCTTGAACTTCTATACTCTATACAGTTATCTCCCTTGAAAGATCTGGAAAATATACATTGTAGTGCTGTTGATTATGATACAGGCATTATTTACTGTGCTTCATCAAGATGTATTGTCGGATTGAATCCTAAGGATGGTCAGGTATGTTATAAAAATGTTGACATTTCTTTGCTGCAATGGTCATTTGAAAGCATACATGTACATACCAAAATTACTAATACATGTAATAATAGTTCAGTGAACTTGTCTTCATTCTCAATAGTTATGTGAAAATATTTGAAATAATTCCCTTCATAAGATGAACTTACTGGTAAGCCTTATTGAAATAGCTATTCTTGATTTAAGTGAACAAGTAAAATTCATAGAAAGAAATATTAAGAGCTTGTTTGTCTCAATATAGGAATTCCTAAAATTTAACAAATTGAATAATTTTTATTATGGATCAAAATCATCAAATGTTACCTGTAAATATTCGAGCTTCTTGACTACTGTAGTTCAGTGGAGGCTGTTTTAGTTATAGTAATGTGTAAAGGAAAAGCATCACTTATCATTATGTCATGAAATGATAGAAGATTTCTATGAATATTCTGTAAACTGCACATTCCAGATCTAGTCCTGAACTTTTACCAGATATTAAGAATGAAGAGAGTATGTATTAACACAAATTTGTCAAATTCCTTTTATTTTACTCTGTTTGTCAAATTTGCCACTGGACGTTAAGCAATCAACATTCAATCAACCTTTTTATACGACCGCAAAAAAAATTTTGTGGTGGTATATTGATATGACGTTGGTGTCGTCGGCGTCGTCCGAAGACACATTGGTTTTCGCACTCTAACTTTAGTTTAAGTGAATGGATCTCTATGACATTTTACCACAAGGTTCAATACCACAAAAGCAAGGTTGGGATTGATTTTGGGGGTTATGGTACCAACAGTAAAGGAATTAGGGGCCAAAAAGGGGCCAAAAATAAGCATTTTTGTAACTTCCAGACATAACTTGTGTGTTAGTGTATGGATCTCTCTGACATTGTACCACAAGGTTCCATATCACAAAAGGAATGCTGGGATTGATTTTGGGGGTAATTGCCTCAAAATTTTAGGAATTAGGGGCCAAAAAAGGGGCAAAAAACAAGCATTTTTCTAGTTTCATGACAATAGCTTGTGTGTAGGTGTATGGATCTTTCTGAAATTGTACTACAAGGTTCCATATCACAAAGGCAAAGCTGGAATTGAGTTTGGGGGTAATTGCCGAAACATTTAGGAATTGGGGGCCAAAAAGGGGCCAAAAAACAAATTTTTCTAGTTTCCAGACAATAACTTGTGTTCAAGTGTATGGATCTCTCTTAAATTGTACTGCAAGGTACCATACCACAAAGGGAAGGCTGGGATTGATGATGGGGGTAATTGCCTCAATATTTTAGGAATTAGGGGCCAAAAAGGGGCAAAAAACAAGCATTTTTCTAGTTTCAGGACAATAACTTCTGTGTAAGTGTATGGATCTTTCTGAAATTGTTCTACAAGGTTCCATATCACAAAGGGAAAGCTGGGTTTGAGTTTGGGGGTAATTGCCCTAAACATTTAGGAATTTGGGGCCAAAAAGGGGCCAAAAAACACATTTTTCTAGTTTCCAGACAATAATTTGTGTTCAAGTGTATGGATCTCTCTGAAATTGTACTGCAAGGTACCATACCACAAAGGGAAGGCTGGGATTGAGTTTGGGGGTGATGAATCATAAGGGTGTTCAAAAAATTGGGGGGGGGGATTTTTTTTTTTTTCCTTTTTTTTTTCTTTTAAAATTTTCCATTTTAAGTTGGTTATTTCTGATTTATATATAAAAGCAAATAATAATGATATGGTAGGAGATACACACCAAACAGGATGTGTAAATTATTATATAATAAGTATTGTGCAATAGCAAGAAATTTTCAATTGCACAGTATTGCACAATAGCAAGAAATCTTCAATTGCACAGTATTGCGCAATAGCAAGAAATCTTCAATTGCACAGTATTGGGCAATAGCAAGAAATATCCAATAGCACAATATTGGGCAATAGCAAGAAATTGTCAATTGTACAGTATTGCACAATAGCAAGAAATATTTAATTGCACAGTATTGTGCAAAAGAAGATACTTCGTATAAATTGCTTATTTCTTGACCAATTTCAATGGGGTTTTATTCTTGAATTGTTGGGGTTCTTTAATATGCTGAATCTAACAATGTATTTAGTTTTTGGATTTTGGGCCCCGTTTTTAAATTGGTCCACATTGAGGTCCAAAGGGTCCAAAATTAAACTTTGTTTGATTTCATCAAAAATTGAATTTTTGGGGTTCTTTGATATGCCGAATCTAACCGGGTATTTAGATTCTTAATTTTTGGTTCCGTTTTCAAATTGGTCTACATTAAGGTCCAAAGGGTCCAAAATTAAACTTAGTTTGATTTTAACAAAAATTGAATTCTTAGGGTTCTTTGATATGCTGAATCTAAAGATGTATTTACATTTTTGATTATGGGCCCAGTTTTCAAGTTGGTCCAAATCGGGGTCCAAAATTAAACTTTGTTTGATTTCAACAAAAATTGAATATATGGGGTTCTTTGATATGCTGAATTTAACCATGTATTTAGATTTTTGATTTTTGGGCCCGTTATCAACTTTGTCCACATTGAGGTCAAAAGGGTCCAAAATTAAACTTTGTTTGATTTCATCAAAAATTGAATTCTTGGGGTTCTTTGATATGCTGAATCTAACCATGTATTTAGATTTTGGATATTGGACCATAATAGGTGAATGTCCAATTTAATATTTTTAAGTTCTTAGACCACATTCATTCTGTGTCAGAAACCTATGCTGTGTCAAATATTTAATCACAATCCAAATGCAAAGCTGTATCAAGCTTGAATGTTGTGTCCATACTTG